CTGGCAGGGCTGGGGGCAAATCTGATATCCCAAAAAATCCATCATTAAAGCAACCCCCTTAAATAACACTTCATGGTAATTACGTCTCAGAACTGCCACAAAAAAAGCTGAACTGGGTTAATTATGACTCATAAAACACAGGAGCAAATCCTCGCCCCGAGGGGGTTCAGCTGGGGGAGGTGTGGTGAGTCCAGGCTCCAAGGGCCTTGCTCGGGTTGGGGGGCCACCACCACCATCAATATACATCCTCCCCTCCCCCCAAATGTTGCATTTCAGCTCATGTTTGAAAGCAAAGCTAACGGCAGGGGGGGGGTTAAAAGTTAATGTTCACAACAGCGGTTGGGGAGTTATTTTTCCTTCCTATTTAGCTGGAATTTTAATCTCCGAGAGGCTTTGCTGGTCTGCTAAGGATGGTTTAACCCTTCCTGCTCTTCCCCACTGATGCCCGGTGTGATCCTTCATCATGGGAAGCCCTTTTCCCTAACATCAGTGAAGCTTTGCTGGAGTGAAATACTGGAGGAGCTGGTGGCCCTCATCAGAAGGGGAGTTATTTTTCCTTCCTATTTAGCTGGAATTTTAATCTCCGAGAGGCTTTGCTGGTCTGCTAAGGATGGTTTAACCCTTCCTGCTCTTCCCCACTGATGCCCGGTGTGATCCTTCATCATGGGAAGCCCTTTTCCCTAACATCAGTGAAGCTTTGCTGGAGTGAAATACTGGAGGAGCTGGTGGCCCTCATCAGAACCTTCACTTGAGCCACCACTTGGCCAAGGAAAGGGCTTGGGATCATGGGCTTTCTTCCCATCCTCCTATTTATCCCAAATCCCATGTCCCTCCATGGGGAAGGGGACAGGGCTGCAGGTCACTGATGTCATGAGTCAGGGAGGCAACAAGCTCCACATCCCCACGTCATGGCAGGGAGCAGCTCCCCACCACCACAGCTCCATGAAGTCACCTCAGGAAGAAGCTACTCCAGCCTGGAGCCACGCAGTGATCCTGCAGCCATGCAGTGGTCCAAGTCTAAAGGCAACAGGAGTTGCCAGAAGTGCTCACCAAAGCCTCTTGTCCAACAGGTGGTGAATATTTCACCTCTTCACACCCTTGATGAGTTAATGAGTATTTCTGCCTAGGCATAACAGGATGAGGAGCATCAGATCTGCTACTGAGCCAAGTGAAGGAATTAGAACTAAACTACCCCACGTCCAACCTCATTAGTGGTAATACTGGGTGACCCTCCAAGCTCAGCTCCTGAAGCTTTCTATCCCACCTTTAGTGTTTTCTTTCAGGAGAGAGCCTGGCCTCCCTATCCATGGGCCAAAATTTTAGCAGTCCTTCCTAAAGCAGTTATGGGTGAAGGGTGCCTAAGTCAGTGGTGGGATGGTGTCTGCTGGGAAAGAAGGTCCTCTGCAGAGCCTGGGCTGTGATAACAAAGCTAATTGGCCCCTGCAAGTCATAGTGCTGTCCCATTGGCTAGAGCTTACTCTACCCAACGTGTTTGGGTGCTGACAGACAGCTCCTAATACACAACATAGAGTCAACAGTGCGAGCAAAAAAGGGTGTTTGAGAGGTCTTCAGTTCCTGTGATCTGTTGGGGTTTGGGGTTTTGGGCCCAGGCTTAACTGTTGTGTGCTGCAAACAGTGGAAGGACGATGTAACACTGCTGTTTCCAAATGCCCCAGAGCTTTTTACTTGCTCCCTCTTGGCTTTGCCAGCCTAACCAGGGCAACCCTTGGCTTAGTTCTCTTTTTCCTTTCACACTAACCCAAAGTACTACACAGGAGAAATCCACCTTCCCCACCCTTGAGCACTTGGTGTTGGGTCTTCACACGCTTCATTCCCCTTGAGGTTGGGAAGGTCAGCCAGAGCTTTGCTAGATGTCCTTTCAAACCAGCAGCACCAACCAAATGCCCCCCTACAGAAGCACCAGCACCAACACCCGACCTCACAAACAACCTGGGACCAAACAGTAGTAGGAAGAGTCCTCTTGAGTCCCTAAGCTTGTTTCTCCCCATTTGGACTATGCTCACAGGAAGGAGCTCCAGTAGCTCCTTCCAATGGCAGCAGAAGCCAAGCTGGGAGACGCCACCAAGAGCTAGGAGGTCTCACCTCCTAGCTAACAACCAGTCTCCTTGCTCTTCTGAAAGACCCTCCAGTCTGATCTCTACACCACCAGGAGGTCAAGGTGACCCTTCAGTGTTGGCCTTCACTGCCCTCACCTCCATCTGGAGATGTGATCCAGGCATGATCAAAGCAGAGTAAACAACACAGACATCCGGGCATTGACTCAACACCACACATCAGTTGGAAATCCATGCCAGGCAGTGCCAGGAGGGATTCCCATTGGCATCTCCTAACTTGAACTCTTTAAAGGCTCTGGATTTGGTCTATTGTGACAACCTCAGAGCCCAAGAGATGTGAGAGCTGCAAACACACGTAACTCTTTTGGCACACTTGAGGGAAAAATCAAAACCCAACAATGTTTTTGCCTTAGGGAAAAAAAAAAAAAAGAGCAGAAAACCCTTGTGTTCAAAACTCAACTGGCCACAAGTGTTGTCTGCCAGCACGAGCTCTCTCCACTGCCCTTGAGACAACTTATTGCTCTACTCGGACACCTCGAGGTGGGATGTCACCAACCACACCAGGCTTCACCTCCTCACACCCTTGGGTAAGCCCAATTCCCAGAAGTTACCCTGCTGCCCACAGCCTCTGAGTGCCCGTTGCCTCCCAGCCTGGGCCACATCAGCTGTGGAGCACCTTCCTTGCTCTCACCTTTTCTCAGGTGCCTTCCCATGAGGAAGGTGACATGTTTATTGCTATTGCTTCCTCTTCCCCCCAACTTCTTCTGCTCACCCAGCAGAGCAGCTGGACATCGTCCCCCTCTCTATCCCTCCTCTATCGTGCTGGGATTTGTGCTTGGATGGACATCTCTCCTGGAAGTCTCTGAGCCCAGCTGTAACCCAAAGAATGTGGGGGACTTCAGTCACCGTTTGGTCTCAGCCCTGCCCAAGACACGGGTGCAAGGTAAACCCTCACATCTCCCCCCTTGCCCTCCCTCGAAGACTCTGCTCCATCAACCATCCACCCTCTTCTCCCGCACCACCACCCTCTGGAGAAGCTCTTCAGACCAACCTTTGGACCTGAAGAAACTCTTCAGACCAAAGCCTGGACCTGGAGAAGCTCTTCAGACCATTCTTTGGACCTGGCAAAGCTCTTCAGACCAACCCTTGGACATCTCCTTGCTTCCTTCAACAGCTGCCCAGCGTGACTCTGCCTGCAAAGAGTAGCCATGCAAGGAAGGAGCTACTTCTCCCTCCCACAGCCCCAAGACGTGGCTGGTGGGGAGCATCTCGTTTTCCTAAGAGGTGCAAGCTGCTCCCAGGGCACACATCTTTCTGTTGCCCTCTCCCCACCACGCCAGATCCGTTTGCCCAGTTGGAGACAGCAGACCAGAGACCTGATGGTGGCCAGTCTTCCTACTTCCTAAGACAAGTGCGTTACCTCGCTAATTATATTTATAGTCTCTTACTCCTACAAAAGAAGGGATGAGTTCAGAACCTCACTGCAGATAATGCATTTAGAATCTATCACGACAGCTATCTGGAAGACACCAATTTTCTTTGTAATAGGTTACGGAAGATTAAATAATTTATATTATTCAACTAAAAATACCCAAACCAAATGGGAAGAAGCCTGCCTACCAGCGCTGTGCTTTTCACATAGTACCCTGAACATCAACCACTCTTACTAGCCAAAGAAGATCTAGGCTCTCGTCAACAACAACGACAACAGAAAATAATGAGAAGAACCCAAACGAACGGGAAGTGGGGGGATCTTTGCACCACTCGGCTGGGCAATGCTGGAGGAGTGAATATTCGGAGCTTTCGGATGATAGGACCAAAGAGAACTTGACTATTGCTCAGTGTCAGTATGTGTGTTACACGATTGATGTGGGTTGGGGAGGAGGAAGGGGAAGAGGGGAAGAAAAAAAAAAAAAAGAGGCAGAAGATTAGAAAAAGCAGCTTTTACAAAAACCACTAAAGAATGCATAAAGTGACCCTTGCACTTTTGTTTGTTTGTTTGTTTTTCTTTTGTTCTTGCAAACAGACGAGGTGCTGCAGTCCAGTGGCCACAGCACCCATGTAAGACTTGTGTAGTTGCATACAATGTTGACTCCGGATCTGGAAGAGAACAAACATACTGAAAATATGGAGTGGTGCAGGATCAGACAGGGCTTCCTCCTCTCCTCTGCACCCTTGGACACCCTGCAGCAAGGGTTGGACCAGACAGAAGGAAGAAGTTCCTGACTATGAGGGTGGTGAGCCCCTGGCCCAGGTTGCCCCGAGAGGTGGTCGCTGCCCCATCCCTGGAACCATTCCAGGGGAGGTTGGCCGGGGCTCTGAGCAACCTGCTCTAGTTGCAGATGTCCCTGCTCCCTGCAGGGGGGTTGGACTGGATGACCTTGAAAGGTGCCTCTAACCCAAACCAGTCTGAGATTCTATGATTCTCTCGTTCTACAATTCTATGAATTTATGCATCTGGGATTTCACCATCCCTCCTGCCAATCTGTGGACACCTTCTTGGGCATGGAGCTGAGAAAGCAGCAGCTTGCTCGGTGGTATCCAATGCAGGGGATGAAAAATATGCAGATGGGATGCTCTCTGCTAATTGCACAACGATTTGTCACGGGCAGGATTATCCCAGGGTAATATCTGCAGCAGGGAGAGATTTCAGATAATCCCCTGGGCTGGAGGAGATCTACACTGCCTTCCCTCTGCCCCCATCAGCTCCATTGCCCATTAATTTGGTGTGATGCACCAAGGGCTACTCCAGCAGCATGTGGAGGGTGTTTAAATGAGCAGCTGGGATTTCTGGGATCCTGAGCAGGGCAGGAATCTGCAGCTGGTTGCAGGCAGCATCATGCTACCCTGATGCTAATGAACCAGATGTCCCAGAATGTTTTAGCAGGGGGAAAAAAAATCCATATTCAAGGGATATGAAACATAAGGAGGGATTCTTTTATCACAGAGTGCAGTGATAGGAGGAAGAGTAATGGTTTAAAACTGGAAGAGGGAGATTCAGACTAGATGTAAGGAAGAAGTTCTTCAGCATGAGGCTGGTGAGATGTTGGAACAGGTTGCATAGGGAAGTTGTGGATGATCCACCCTTGGAGGTGTTCAAGACCAAGTTGGATGGGGCTTTGAGCAACTTCATCTAGTGTGAGGTGTCCCTGCCCATGGCAGGGGGGTTGGAACAAGATGATCTTTAAGGTCCCTTCCAACCCAACCCATTCTAGGATTCTGTGAAAGAGAATGGCATATCCAAAACCTTAAGGCATAAGCCTGACTGCACTCAGCAGGGCTTGATGACACTGAGGTAGCACTGAGCAGCAAGATACAAGGTCAAGGCACATTGTGCTTCACTAACACCCTCCACAGCCCCATGACAGCCCCCCATGCAGCTACCCCTGCTGGGGAGCAGTGTGAAATCACAGAATCATGGAATGGTTTGGGTTGGAAGGGACCCAGAAAGGTCATCTATTTCAACCCTCCGGCAGGGAGCAGGGACATCCCCAACTAGAGCAGGTTGCTCAGAGCCCCGGCCAACCTCCCCTGGAATGGTTCCAGGGATGGGGCAGCGACCACCTCTCGGGGCAACCTGGGCCAGGGGCTCATCACCCTCAATGGAAAACATTTCTTCTTTGTATCTAATCAAAATCTCCCTCTTTTAGTTTCAAAACATCTTCCCTTGTCCTGTCCCAACAGACCCTGCTCAAAAGTTCCTCCCCAGCTTTCTGACAGGCCCCTTCAAGTACTGAATGGCCGCAAGGTCTCCCCTGAGCCTTCTCTTCTCCAGGGCCAACTCTCTCAGCCTGGCCTCCCAGCAGAGGGGTTCCAGCGCCCACGATCATTTCTGTGGCCTCCTCCAGACTCTTCTGGAGTCAAATGGCTCTTCTGGAGTCAAAGCATCACCCAGCCAAAGGGATTCAGCAGCTTTGCCAGAAAGAGAGAAGCACCGATGGTGCCCGGTGGCCAATTACTCAACAAGAGTAGGGCAAGACCTGCAAAGGCAGCACTTACATGACTTGGCCAGTGGGTTTACCAGTGTGGAGGTACGTAGCTGTAGGTGGGGGTTCCTTGAGCCCTGTACGTTGGCACGGAAACTGGATGTGCTCCGATGGCGGTGTGTTGTGGGGTGGTCAACAAGGTTCCTGCAACGGCAGGGAGAAGTGTTTAGGAAGGAGGAGAGCTCCATCAGGGGGGTGGTAGCCCGAGGGTAGGGTTCTGCAGGCCACAGCCAACAGACAGGCACAGCATCAGCTGCTTGGTTTTAATTCTTCACTTCTCCCAAATATTATTCTGCCTAGAGACCTGAATTGAGGGCACTTGACTCATACGGTTGATATCAGCCAGCACCAGGAACAGAATAAACTCATCTGAAGCTCCAGCGTATTTCCCATGCTATTTTTGGCCCTTAACTCATCTTTTCCCCATTTTCCTTGTCCCGAAAGCCCAGCAGCAGAGCCACCCTGCTGACATCTTCCAGTTCCTGAAGGCTCTGGGCTAAACTGCAACAGCAGATCACTGCAGGAATCCCAAACATCTAAGGACCAAACTGAAAGATCTGCAAAAGGAGATGAGAAAATCCCAAAAACTTCCAGGGAAAACTAACATGAGCTCTGCTGCTCATCTCCCAAGGGCAGTGGAGCAGTTTTGCTCCAGAAATGATGCATTTGTTGACATAGCTCAATGCACAATCCTAGGAATTGTTAATGGCAGAAATACAGGCTTTGGAAAAACTCAACCCAGCCCTTACTCTTGCTTAATGTGCTACCAATTAATTGCAGTTTGAAGCAATCCTGCGTATGAAATGCTGAGGATTTGGGATATATAAGCCAAGGTTAATATTAATAAAGTTCATTTCATCAAATAGAAGCAAGACTGTAAGCATCCTATAAAAGGAATGTGAGGATAGAAATACTAGAGTACTTGAAGATGGACAAACCTGCTTATTCCTTTACCTAAGGAACAGGCAGAGGTAAGAATATATTTAAGGTTTGCAGGAGTGCATCCCTCTAGAGTCAGCCAAACCAAAGGGCTCCTCTGCTGACCAAAAAGCTGGGTTAGATCAGCATCAGGGGAAAATAAATTGATTTTTGCCTTCAAAGGAGAAGTAACCAGCAAGCCAAACCAGCAGATAAAGCTGCAACTGGCTGTGGGCAAGGAACTTCTGCAGGTACCTGCCAGCTACACCCCACACACTGGATGCACAGAGTTCTTCATCCAGGAGGAGCCTCCTGCACAGGCCGTTTGGCTGCGCCCCACCTCAGAATGGGGGAGGATGTTCCTTCTTACCTGCTGACATTGCCATGGTGGTCCCAGCGACCATCCCCATGGCCACACCGTTGGTCCTGGGCGCAGCGACCGGGGCCGGGTAGATGGCCGATGGGATGCTGTTGGGCTGCACCACGGTGGTGTGATGGATAACGTGAGGCTGTGCCGCGTACACGGGCTGGGTGTAGTAAGCTCCCTGTGGGAGAAGGGGACAAAAAAAAACCCCCAACCCATCGTCTATGTCAGTCAGTTTGAAAGCACAAGCCAAAGCAGTGACTTGAAGGTGAGTGGAGAATCTTGGGCCCGGCACATATCTGGAGGAAGGGGCAATGCAGGTGTTCAGGGAGGAGCTCCTCCATGGGGACAAGCTAGGTCATGCCTGAAGTAGCTTGGGCTGGTGAAGGTGACACAGGGGATTTTCCATGGGAGGTGGTAGGAGGGCGATGCAAGTCAAGTGAGATGCCAATGGGCACCAGCAAGTGGACCTTGTGGTGACCCAGACTCATCTGTAGTCCTGGGGAAGAGCAGCACTGGGAGCTGGGGGAGTGTGGGGAGAGGTGGGTACAGGGACCATCCTGGAGTCAGCAAGCCCTGGAAGTCAGGTATGTGATTTTGGGGGAACAGACCAAATTCCCAACCTGGTGAAGCCACAAGGAGACCAACCTCTGTGTTGACTTTGCTGCACATTGACAACCATGCAAGACCATGTCTCATCCAGACTACTCAATGGAGGAGGCAGGAGAGAAGCCACCAAGCCTCACCATGAGCACCTCCATTCCACCAGGACTTGGGTGCTCAGCCCTGACAGCCGAGGACAAAGCCCTGCAGGAACCTCAGGCTGTGTCTGCACACTGGTGAGCGAGGCACCTACCTGGGTGTACAGGTTCTGCTGTGGATAGGCACTTCTGATGGGGTACATAGCAGTTTGGTACGGATTTGGAGACGGCGAGTAGGGAGGAGGGGCGTTGTTACTCTGGGTTGGTGGGACCTTGTAGGGAGTCCCCGCAGTGTACCCTGGCAAAGACAAGAGTTGTCCACGTTAGGGTGAGGGTTTACTGCTGTACAGCTGGGCCACAGGGCATGAGTAGCCTGAGCCACCCTTCACAATGCTCCCGCTGCTCACTGGGCACCACCTGGCACAGAGATGTACTGAGATGCACCAGCATCTGCTGATGGCCCAGGACACCCACCAAGCTGAGACCTCCGAGCCCAGCATCCAGCCCCTGGCTAATTGATCACTGTAGCTGGGGCTGCATCATCCACCCAGCCTGGCAGTGGCTCTTCCCACACTGCCTCCACCAGACCATAGAGTCGATGCCAAAGGTCAAGGCATGACTTGATGGGACTCAACCAGCACTTAAATCTTCTAAGACAGCAGTATCCCAACACCTACTTACCCATCTCTATATGTCTATTTGATGAGAAATAATGGTTTTTCCTTCTCTCCTCCCCAGATTTTTGTCCTTTCACCTTTTTGGTTTTTTTTGCTTGGGGTGTGATGGGCAAAACCAGAATTGAATTGCTGGAGGATCTACTTAGATCTTATTCCCAAGACCAAGCGATGAGACAAGAGGAAACGGCCTCAAGCTGCTCCGGGGGAGGCTGAGGTTGGCCCTGAGGAATGATTTCTTGCCCTTGAGGGTTGTGCAGGGCTGTGCCAGGCTGCCCAGGGCAGTGGTGGAGTCCCCATCCCTGGAGGGGTTTCCAAGCCGTGGAGATGTGGTGTTGAGGGACACGGTTCAGTGGGGACCTGGTAGTTCTGGGTTAATGCTTGGACTGGATGCTTCTAAAGGCCTTTTCCAACCAAAACAATTCTGTGAGTCTATTCTGTGACTCCAATTTGATGGCACAGTGTTGCTGTCCCCTGCCTACATCCCCAACACCGATGGTCCAAACCTTAATATTAAGGCGCACCCTCACTTTGAGTTTTTTCTCCTATTTGCATTAGGTTCTGAGCTTTCTGCTGCCTATAAAATTATATTTTCCTTCCAGGAAGACCCAGTGATACCAGCTCAAGATCCTCTCATTTAAGCCTGACCTTATTTGTCTTTTTTTTAAAGGCTTTTCCTGGAGTGAGGACATCCCATGAGGACCTCCACTTTTCTTCTGCTTCCTTTCAAGGTACCTTCCTATCTATTGACTTGTGATGAATATGAGTTGACCTCCATACCCTCCACCAGTTTTGCCCTCCAGAAAGGAGTGGCTTTAGGCATGTCCATGATAACAGTGTATAATCCAACTCTTCATACTTGGCAGCAAAGTGCTGTAAGACCTCACAGCAAGTACAGCACCTCAAGGAGGTGCAACCTGCCCCAAGAATGGGATGTCCCAGCACCAAGGATATGCAGAACCTGAATTCCCAACTTTTAGAGACATTTCCAAGGCAGGCTCCATGAAGTTGTTCCTGAAACATTATTACATAAGTGCTAAACTGGGGCCAAATCCTCAAGAGTACTTGCAGGCTTTGAGTGTTTTAGTTTAGGGTGGACTAAAAGCTGCCATGGGATGCCCCAGACTGCTGAAGGCAACAAGGTGTTGGATGAATGGTTTAACAAAAAATGGAAATGGTTAAAAAAAAAGGTAAAAATTCTGCTCGCAGGAGCAAGAAAAAGCCTGTGGGCTGTGACAGATGGTGAGAAATAGGATCTAGCTCTGGCAGGAGGGCTGGAAGGAATCAGCCTGAGAAAAAATGGTCTCTGAAGGCTGTGTAGGATGGAGAGCAGTCAAGGCTCATCCCACCGATAAGACATCGAAACACTCCAATATAATGAACTCATTTACTCAACCAGTGTTCAGGGCAGCAATTAATGAAGGTTAAGATTTCAAGCCTGCTAATAGCCCATATTATCCACCCAGCACTGAAACAGCGTGAAGATAACGAGGAGCTTTCTAGGAACTCCCAAACAGCATCTCACCGCCTCCTGATTACTGCAGACTGGAAGAAAAGTGTTAATTAAACAGCAGAGTAGCTGTGACCCTTTTTCTGACTCACATTAGCAGGAGAGCAACAATCTTTCAATGAGAGATGGAAGCAGTGAGAGGAGATGCAGGTTCAGAACGCCTGCATTCACCACAGCACCGGAAGTGGAGACTTCTCCATCAGGAGGTCCTCCAGAAACCCAGAAACATCACATCCTCCAGACCCCCCCAACCTCCTGTATTTCAATCTTACAGCTTTTTGGCTATTCTCAACTCACTTTTCAAACAAAGACGTCGGAGGCTGCCAGTTCTTGGCAACATGCTTCCTTTCTGATGGGCTTCTGGAGATGTGGACCAGCTCAAGGCTGTGTGGTTTCACCACCTTGAATGATGATACTTGCTCTGGTTTCTCAATTGCTGAATCATGGACAATTTCACTATGATATTAGATACCATTACACACCATTCCATGATTCTATGATCTTAAAAAAGGTTTTAAACATAATACTCCAGGCAGGTGCAATTTTCCATGTTTATAAATTGGGGGAAAAATGGAACCATTTGTGGGTAAAACCGACATGTAATCAAGTTTTAATGACCCAAGATGATGGAGGCTCCTCTCCGAATGTCTGACAGCTAATTTTAAAGCCTCATTATGACAATCTCACACCTTATTAGGATTAGGAGGTTGGCATCGCCCGGGCTTCTGCCGCTTCATGGTTCAGTTCCATGTTTATAAATTGGGGGAAAAATGGAACCATTTGTGGGTAAAACCGACATGTAATCAAGTTTTAATGACCCAAGATGATGGAGGCTCCTCTCCGAATGTCTGACAGCTAATTTTAAAGCCTCATTATGACAATCTCACACCTTATTAGGATTAGGAGGTTGGCATCGCCCGGGCTTCTGCCGCTTCATGGTTCAGCAACCTTTAAGCTCCAGCTTCTATTAAAATTTCTGATTAAATCCCTCACGCCACTCTGAAATCTCAACCTGATTGATCCTGCAGCACAGAAGTGCTCTGAATTGCACAGATAAATTTTACTATAATAGCACAAGGGCTGCTGGGGAAGAAAAAGACCTTCTGTGATGAACTTTGTGTCACCATCTCCTCTTGTTTCCACATCTGGGCAAACTTTCTGGTGGCCTGCCAGGACTTATGGTGGGGCTTATAAGAAAGATTATAGACTGGACGTAAGGAAGAAACTTCTTATGCTGAGGTTGGTGAGGCCCTGGCACAGGTTGCCCAAAGAAGCTGTGGATGCTCCGTCATTGGAAGTGTTCAAGGTGAGGTTGGCTGGAGCTCTGAGCAACCTGCTCTAGTTGTAGATGTCCCTGCTCCCTGCAGGGGGATTGGGCTGGATGAGCTTTGAAGGTCCCTTCCAACCCAAACCATTCTGAGATTCCATGATTCTGTGATTCTGCAAATCCAGACTTGTATATTTTTAGCAAATTCAAGCTGTGTCTAAGGAGGCTGCACCCAGCACACTTCCAGCCCTGGGAGCAGAAGATAGATCTCCTCATCGATCTCCTCAGGAAAGCACAGGGCAGAACTGGGACTCACACCATGGTGGACTGTGGGCAGGAATAAGCAGACAAGAGCAGCTCCAGGAGGTTCTACATGGTTGATTGGCCCAGTTGAGTGTGATTGGTTCTGGGTGTCTAGTTCTGCTTCTGTCACCAACGTCCAGCTTGGCTCATCCTCCTCCAGCCTTTTTCCTGGCTTTATAGTCTGTCTGCCTTCCCTGCACCTGGGGGACTGGAAGAACACCTTTGGACTGGTCAGCACAGGGACATCACAGGGTACGATGCCATGGTGTGGACGCCAGCACAGGCAGCTGCCTGACACGCCCTCATTGCTCCTGCCAAAGTCCTCCCTGGCACGTTGTCCCTGCCACCACCATTTGTACCAGCCAGACAACAGCAAACTGGAGGCTCTGGGGTAGAAAGAACCATAAAATCTAAAACCTTGCTCACTATCATGCGCAAAGCTTCACGTCTATGACCCACTCTAATCTCAACTGGAGCATCTAAGCAGCAAAACAAAATACCTCAGGCAAAACCAAGCTTTGAAAACCCATCGTTAAAGGACAAAAGAGCAAAAGGCAAAGGCATGTCCCCAAACTGTAGGCCAGCCCAGGATGAAGGCAACTGGGCAGCCCTTGCCCAGCCTTTGTGTTCATGCATGTCTTGCCATGGGCTTTCACTGCAGGTTCACAGCCCAGTGGAGCCCTCAGCACCTTTTCTGTCTTACTGGTGCAGATGTAAGGAGGTACTGAGCAGTTACTGGGTATTTATTCGTATTTATCCATGTTCATCACATGGCTCCAGTTAATACTGGCGGTCACTCTTCACCCTAGGAACAGAAGGACTCATTTCTCATGCTTTTCCTTGGGTCTCCTCCATCCAGACCCGACACCTTGCTGATATTTGTGAGTAAGATCTCACCCATCTCTTGCCACAAGACACCTGGAGAGAGCTGTTCTCCCAAGAACAAAACCTGGCCTAGATGAGATTGAGCCAAAGGACAGAACCAACTTGGGATGCCCAACCTGATTTTTCAGAGCCCGTGTTTGAGATGACAACTCCCAGCTGAGCTCTGGTGAAGCCGACTGCAGCTAGAAGCCTGAAAGAATCTCTGCCAATCAATTCTCATGCCTTTATCTATGCAGTTTAATCTCCAAATTAAATGTGCCCAAGCCAGTTCTCTGGAAACAAGTCCAACCTGCATGGGTCTGGCTGGTGACCACATTATTGGTCTCCTATATCACCCACACTAGGTGGCCACAGCCAAATTTTGTCCCCCAGAACCTTTCCCACCTCAGTATCTGCTCTTAACCTCTCTGGAGTTCAAGCCATGCCAGGATGTGGTTTCTCCTCCCCATTGTACCTCCAGGCTGCTGCAAGTGAGATTCCTCCCTCAAAATCAAAGGGATTTTGCCAAACAATATCTAGGTTTCTACTAATGACATGCTGAGATTTTTTCTGAACACTTACAACTCAGTCAAATCTGGTCTGGAATGAAATTAGGTGAGATACAAAATCCATGCACCCTGTCAGGCTTACGGTCCCCACCTCAAAGAATGGTGAGGACATCCCTTTTCAAAGAGAAAGTCTCCCAAAAGCTTTTGATAGGTTTATTTTGAATAATTATTTTAGTCCAAAAGAAGGAATGACCTTTCTTCCGCTTATCTCTTTCTGTGAATCATTTAATTTAGCACAAAAAGGGAGCCTGGAGCAGACAGCTGGTGAGGAACACTTCAATCCATGTGTAAGCATGGACACTGTGGTCCCAACCTTGCAAACACGGCCCATGGAGAGTCACTTTAAGATGACATCTGTTTTTATTCTCCAAATACGACTGGGAGTCTCTCGAGGTCCTAGGAGTGTTGGGAAGGTTAATCCTTCATTTGGAACCTTGGAGTGGTTCCACCTCATGCTTGCAGCACACCCCAAGCTGGCCATGGCCCAGCTTTATCAGGCAACATGAAGGCAAGAGGAGGCAAGAGCAGTGGAGCAGGGGCCAGAGGACACCACACATACCAGGGGAAGCACCAGGGGCCTTATCAGGGAGCTTATCACCCCTCCTGGAGGCACTCTTGGTCTCTCAGGGGATGAGATTACAAAGCTCCACCTGGAAAAGCCTGTTTGGCTGCGATCCGTAAGCAGCATCTCCTCCCCCTGCCTCTGCCCCGGCAGTTTGGCTTAAAAAGTGGGAATTTCACCCGGGTTCCTTGAAATTCTTGCTTTATTTTGGATTTCTCTTTCACTTTGAAGGGCAAAGGAACTAATCTCCCTTTGGTTTTTCTACCCATATGGTTCTGCTCAACCCTGGAGCATCACCACTGCAGATAGACACCTGGAAACAAGCTCAGGTTGCTCCTGGGGACCAAAGGTTCAGCTAAAAGTGAGACCTTCACCCTTCTCCACCTGACTTCCTCCTGTAAAGGAGCTCTAGGAGGGCTAGTGCTCTCCTCTTCATGCTTCTAACACATATCAACAGGAAGGAGCACGGATGGTCCCTTGTTTTTGGAAGAAAAATCCCAAGGGCTCCACAAAATTTCATCCCAGAAGGGAATTGCAGCAGCAATGCAACAGTCCCACTGGGAAGCTCTGGCAGCAGAAGGTGATGGGTCTGCTCCACGGTGCCAGTGAGCACCCCCAGGACCTGGAGCACTCTCACCCTGTGTCAGGGCTCAGCATCCAGGGAAGGACAAACAGGCACCTGCACGGACACGAATGATCCCATCCATTTGCTGACCCCAAATAACCCCAGCCCCAAACAACCCACAGGAGGGGAGGCAAATGGGCACAAAACCACCAAGTAAAACCCCAGAAGAAAAGGTTTATTTACTGAATGCTGCAGAAGAAGCCTGATAAGTTCTGTTCTCGGTCCCGGTGTCCACCGGGAGGTGGAAGGTGCCCTCCGTGGCACAGGAGGAGGAGGTCTGTGGCCAGGCTTGCTTCATCAGAAGTGTAGCTTGAGTGGAGACAGAGAAGAGGTGTCACACACAGCAATGGAGATACAACTTCTTGCGTTTTTGTCATGCCTGAACCACTTTGCTGCTCTCCTCCTTTCCCCCCCACAGCCTTTTTCGGGATAACTGGCCACAGGAATTTCACACTGTGGTTCCTCTCTCCTCACCTGCTCCCCACAGAGAGATGGTTTGCATAGGGCATTGTAGCAAACCAGCTGCCTACCCCACATGACTGGTTTCCTGAGCTAAGTGACCTGTGTGAAGATCATTCAGGCTAGATGAAGCTCTGAGTAGCTTGATCTAGTTGGAGATGTCCCTGCTTGTGGCCGGGGGGTTGGACTAGATGACCTTTGGAGGTCCCTTCAGCCCAGACATTCTATGGTTCTATGATCTACACCTGTGGGCAGTGGCCAGCAGAGCCACCATCCCTCCCCAGATACCACTGGTCACCTCTGTGCATAGGGACCAGCAGGACATGGACAACCATGTCCTTGGCCTTGGGTTTCTCCGCTGGAAAACAGGCTGAGCCTGGTGTGCAAAGCATTTTATTTACAGTAAAACCCTTTGAGATGTTTGCATGGCAGGTATCACCAGTGGTCAAGGTCCTGGTAGCTGTTACCATCCCATCACAGCGTTGAGTGGTCCTTAGAAACTCTGTGAAGGACAGTCAGCAGAAGTAGTGGCTTTGGGCAGATCGTCCAGTACCCCAGTTTGCAGAAAAATACTTATAAAGCCAAATAAGATAAACCAGAAGAATCTCAAGAGCCAAATCTTGTGAGATTGGAAAAGTGACCAACAGAAATCAGTCTCTTTTTTGATCTTAGATTTTACAAAAGAGGGAAAGGTATGACACTAACTGCTGTAACACACCTCTGCATGATGAACCAGCACTGGCTACACCTTTAACCTGTATCCAAACTCAGTGCTCATCTAAGAACTGCCATCACACCACAGGCATGATGGAGAACATCTATGGAGGATGTAGACCACCAACACAAGCCTAAAACCAAGCTTCTTCCCAACATTAGTGCCTCTGAATAAGACTTTACATGTCTTTGTTTTCCTGGGTTTGGGTTTTTATTTATCCCTTGAAACTATGGATCTATCCCAACATTTTGTTCCAGACTCATCTCAAATGGTGACCCACACCTTCCTTGGTTTAGGTCCCAGCACATCCCCAGCAGAGTGCATACATCTTTTGACAGCCTCCTCCAGTTGCGAGCTGCTCTGTCTGTCATCGTAAAAAGAAATAAGCTCCAGTTTTCCAAGTACCACTGTAGGCATTTCACACACCCAGCTACTAAGGAAAGAAAACCAAGCAATCCTCAGGAAGCCACCTAGTGATTAGATCTTGCTGGGAAGTTGTGGAGGGCAAAGGAGGGAAAATGCTACAGCTCCTAGAATCTAAGAAAATCACTGATTTATGGCTCCTGTAAAGGTATTTTGGTGTTAACATAGAAGGTGGATTGTTGGAATCCTCTCTATGACAAATTACCAAATTCCCCAAGATCTCTAGAAGGTTGGAGGTCAGCCTATGTCCCCATTGTCCCCTCCTCCCCATACAGGTGGTGTCAGAGACAGGTAGGATTTCCCCAGAGATGCAGTAAAGGTCTTTGGTGTCAGATCTTCCAACTCAATACACTTCTGGAGATAAAAAGAAAGAGGACTTTTGGGCAAGAGAGGAACCAGAGGTGTGATTTTGTGTGTAGGAACTGCTTCTGAGAGCAGCACCAGCCAAGATCAGACAAAGCTATCTGGGGCAGAAAGAGGAGCTCTTTGGGAGGGTCACCACAGCCCACAGGAGGAGTTGGTGCGTTCCTTATCCTCTCATCGACTCCAGGAGAGTCACACATGAAGATAAGTTAAAGCTGCACTTCAAAACTCCTTCTCCTAAGCAAGTTCCTACCCCAAGGGGCTCGGTGACAGGTCCTGCAGAAGGGACTTCATGACTCGGTCAGGGCTTGTAAAGCTTTCTGCAGCCCAAAGGCAAGAGCAATGATGTTTTAAACCTTTCCAACACCTCCATGTCTGCTCAGACTCTCAATTAACCATCTCTGCAGATGCAACTGTAAAGCTGGAGTACCACAGGGCTGGAAGCTGGGGATTGGGTTGAGGAGGCCAAGGAGGAATCAGTGCTGGTGTCACAGCCAACACCAGACACAATGCAGCTCCTAATGGTTGGACATTACTGCCTGTAGAGAGCGAAGAAGCACTGCTGCAGATCTGTTGGTCCACCAAAAGCTCATGGGACCATTCTCCTCATGTGGGACAGAAATGCTGGAGCAAGGAGGACACTTCAGCGACACTTTACTGGACGGCATAGCAACCATCAGTTGTGTGGAGATGTGTATGGGTGTGAGATGGTGTTCTGATGATGGAGATGTGGAAACATGCCCCTCTCTCCTCATCTTCAAGAGAAAACCAGGAGGCTTATGGGGAGTGAGAGGTTCTTCTCCACTCAAGCATCTATCACGCTCTGCTCTGAGCCTGTGCCCCCTCCCAAATCTTTGTGAGTTACTGAGGATCTCCAAAGTGCCTTGCTTGACTTTCCATGGTGCACTGCCCTCCTGAATGTCACGCTGGAGAGCTAATGCCCCGTGCCAAGACAGAAACACTCCTTCAGTTATGCTTTTAATCAAAATCAGACTCATTTTTGCCTCTGGTCTTCACAAAGGTTTTAATCTCCAAGACTGATGAGACAAATTATTTAAATGCTCTATGAATCCTTCCTCTGAGGTTTCTCCTCTCTATGTTAGACCTACCAAAAACTGAAGGTAATTTGGGTCTGAGATGGCTGGGAGCTATGCATGTTCTGTACATTACATCATGGATCCTCGGAGAATCCATCACTTGAAACTACATGAAATACATGAAAGGTGAACCAAGGAGGCTTCTAGGAACATTAATATCACCTAGACCTTTGCAAGAGCTACAATTCACACAGGGGTTACAATCCAGCCATGACCATCTAATATCATTTAAGGTCTATCTCATAGAATCACAGAATGGTTTGGGTTGGAGGGGACCTTTAAGGCTCATCTACTCTGACCCCTCCATGTCTTCTGGATTTGATCCTACCAGTGTCTCCTGGATTTGGTTTAGCCTCTTGCCAATGCTGGATATTGAAAAATAAAGAGCTTTTATTCGTTGTGTGTTGGATGCCTGGCAAATCTAGTGGTGGGAACTGGGCAAGCAATGTGCGCTGAGTATGAGTCTCAGCGCTGGGACTGGTCTGGCTCCTGCAAGGACCTCTATCCAAGGTGGCAATGTTCAGGACATATTTTAACTTGAAAAAAAGAAAAAGATGAACCAGATGTGCCTTAATTCCACCCATTACCTGGAGTACAGGATCGCAACAAAAGGACAAAGCAGATGACACAGCAAACATGGTGTATCTACTTCTTGCTTCCCTCTGTCAAGAGATTAGTGATGGGCAGGGTCTTGAGCTTCACACACAATTTGCAGTAAGCTGAATTCCCCAGACAGGTCCTTTACTGTGTGCCTCAGACCTGTGGGACTGTTGCTCTTAGAAAACTTTGCAAGGCTCTACAGGATATCCACTCTGCCAGACCCCAGGATACCCACCACGGAGCACTCACTGGTCATGGAGTGATAGAATCACAGACTGGTTTGGGTGGGAAGGGACCCAGAAAGCTCACCTTGTCCAACCCCCCTGCAGGGAGCAGAGACATCTGCAACTAGAGCAGGTTGCTCAGAGCCCCGGCCAACCTCCCCTGGAATGGTTCCAGGGATGGGGCAGTGACCACCTCTTGGGGCAGCCTGGGACAGGGGCTCACCACCCTCAGTGTGAAACATTTCTTCCTTGTATCCAATTGAAATCTCCCTTCCTTTAGTTTCAAACCATCCTCACTTGCCCTATCACAACATGCCCTTGGAAAAAGTCCCTCCCCAGCTTTCTGACAGGCCCCTTGGAGAACTGAAAGGCCCCCAGAAGGTCTCCCCAGCTGGAGCCTTCTCCTCTGCAGGCTGCCCAAGCCCAACTCTTTCCTGCTGGGCTCCCA